GGCACATAACAACAACAACAACATAGGGAGCTCTGGTAGCGTAATGCCTGAGGCACTTGACTGCTAACCAGAAGGCTGGCAGTTTAAACCCACCAGCCACTCCTTGGAAAGAAGGCTGGGCAATCTACTTCCGTAGAGATACCTTGGAAAACCAAGGAGGGGTCACTATGAGTCGGATCTGACTCGACGGCAGTGAGTTTAGTTTCTGGTTTTATAGCCTAGCAGGTTGACACATGGGCTGGCCATAAGGCCTTCAAGCAAGCTTTGTCTGCACTCCAGTGAACAGTTTCCTGCTTGCCAGTCTCAGCCTACCACACCTTAGCATACAAGCCACCCAACAACATTTGAATCTCAAGTTTGTAGAGGAGGGCTCTATCCCAATTTTGTTCCTTCCTTGGGTATTCAGCCTCAGTTCTAGAAGTAGTGGTACTCCCTGTATCTGCCATTCCTATATTTTTTAGCAATCTCTTTATCCCTTAGTAGTTAATCCTGTTGATTGTTACTGTTTGTATTAATTTTTTTCTATTCAAATTACTGTGTGGTTTCTCTTTCAAATGGACTGACAAATACATATTTCAATAGTTATATTAAGTATAACATTCTAAAGGATGGAATACATATTTCAATAGTTATATTAAGTATAAATCATCTGTGATCATGGGGCACCAGATGGAGGAAAAGCTGGACAGACAGGAGTGCATAACTAAGAAGGGCAGAAGGATGGCGGGGCCACAGGGAAGGGAGAGGAGAGTGGGTTAGGGTTGGGGATGGTAATCAGGGAGTGAAACCAAATGTACAGGAACTGTTGAATGTAAAACAAATTCTGCTCTGTCAATTTGCATCCAAAGCACAATTAAAAAAAAAAAAAGTATAAATGATCTAAACACTAACTAAAATGCAGAGATTGTCTTATTGGATAAAAAAAGTAAGACAACCATATGCTGTCTATAAGATACCTAAGGAGCCCTGGTGATGCAGTGGTTAAGTGCTTGGCTTTGAACCTAAAGGATGGTGGTTCAAACCCACCAGCTGCTCCATGGGGAGCAAGATGTGGCAGTCAAGATTACAGTCTTGGAAACACTGTAAGTCAGTTCTACTTTGCCATAGAGGATCACACTATGAATAAGAATCGACTCAATGAAATAGGTCCAAGATACCTACTTTGAGTACAAAGGCACAGGTAGATAAAAAAGTGAAAGGATGGAAAAGATGTACCATTCAAACACTAATCAAAAGGAAGCAGAACTGGCTATATTTATTACCAGGGAGAAGAGGAACATTTCATAATGATAAAGGGGTCAATTCATTAAAAAAAAAAATTCCAAATCCATTGCCATCGAGGTAATTCTGACTCATGGAGACCTTTTGTGTTACAGAATGGAACAACAGCTCCATAGGTTTTTCTTGGCTGTAATCTTTATGGAAGCAGATTATCAGGCCTTTCTCTAATGTAACCACTAGGTGGGTTTGAAATCTCAACTTTCAGGTTAGTAGATGTACACATACAAGAAGACATGTATTTACCAAGTGCTTACATATTAGGTACTGTGTGCTGTATGGATTCTCATTTATTTGTCAAATCCTATAAGATATTAAGGAACTCTGGTAGCATAGGAGCTCTGGTAATGTAGTGCCTAAGGCATTTGACTGCTAACCAGAAGGCCATCGGTTCAAACCCACCGGCTACTCCTTGGAAGGCAGGTTGGGCAATCTACTTCCGTAGTGATACTGCCTCGGAAACCCAAGGAGGGGTCACTATGTGTCGGGTCTTACTCGGGGGCACATAACAACAACAACGTAAGATATTAATATCTCCATTTTATATATGAGGAAATAAAGCTATTAAGTGTAGAATATGGATGAGAACTCAGAATTTGAACTCTTAAAAAGTATGCTACACTAACTCTCCCAAACGGCCACTGAACACTATTAACAGTACAGGTCAATTTTTATAAATTAATACAAATGTATTCATACATAAAACTGTGTGAAAGGATTTATAAATCCAACTATTAATAGTGGTTATCTATGAGTTACTGAATTACAATGTCTTTTTATCTTAGACTTTTTTTTTCAATAAATATGTGTAGCAAAGTTTCAATAACACTTGTGTACCAAAATTTTTTAATGAATTAAGTTTCATTTAAAAAGTTACATTTATATAACTTCATAGAATATATATACACACACACATTAGCTGTCAAATGAGAATTCTGCTTACAAACTGCATCTAGTATTTAGTTCACAAGTAAATATTCCATTTGTCATGTCTTCAAATACGGTGTGCCTACACACACACACACACACACGCACGCATACATGTAGGAGCTCTGGTGGTGTACTGCCTAAGGCATTTGACTGCTAGCCAGAAGGTTGGCGGTTCAAACCCACCAGCCATTACTAGAAGGGGCAATATACTTCTGTAAGGATTTACCACTTCAGAAACCCAATGGAGGTCGCTATGAGTCGTAATCAACTCGATGGCAGTGGTTTTAGTATTTTATATGATATATGATATACAATACACACACACACACACACACTTACTGCCTCCAGTCGAATCCGACTCATGGCAACCACTCCTTGGGTTTCCGAAGCAGTATCACTACGAGAGTAGATTGCCCAACCTGCCGTCCGAGGAGTAGTTGGTGGGTTTGAACTGCCAACCTTCTGGTTAGCAGTCAAATGAGAATCTATCTTGCTTACAAACTGCATCTAATATCTACTTCACAGGTAAATATTCCATTTGTCATCTCTTCAAATAAGGTTAAACAAGCTGCAGTACAGCCTTACACGTAACCACGGTCAACGACTTCAAGTGTTCGAGAGTTTGAAAGAAAGGAACTCTGTTCACGAACAAATGTACACTACTGATAAAATTCACCTTTACAGTTAAGGAGCACTCCCGTGTGCAATTACTTCCCCTCCACTCATTGAGTGGGGCAACCACAGGGCTACTACTCATCTCAGAGACTAAATTTGCATTTCTATACTATTTAAAGGAGCTCTGATAGCGTAGTGCTTAAGGCACTTGACTACTACCCAGAAGGCTGGCGGTTCAAACCCACTAGCCACTCCTCTGAAGGAAGATGGGGCAATCTACTTCCGTAGTGATACCGCCTCGGAAACCCAAGGAGGGGTCGCTATGAGTCGGGTCCGACTCGATGGCACATAACAACAACAACATACTATTTAAGGCAACCGGATGCAAAACAACTTACTGCCACCTACTCAAGGAGGACAACACTGTATCACGGTAGACTAACCAGTTTTAGTTGTGTCTAAGGTTTTACGAAGGTTGGGCAATCCTACTTCCGTAGTGATACTGCCTCGGAAACCCAAGGAGGGGTCGCTATGAGTCGGGGCCGACTCGACGGCACATAACAACAACAACAAGGTTTTACGAGATGCAAGCTCTGGCTTCGCGTCTTGAGGCCATAATACCACCCTAGCAGCGTCTGTGGTTTATAACCCAGAACACCTGGCGTCTCCCAGGGCGCTCCCCGAGACGCCGTGGGTCGAATGGCTTCCTGGTCTCATTCCCGGGTGGCCCCCACATTTACCCTGTCAAGGGCACGTTCGTTCTTTGGCAGCTAGGGAGCGCCGCACCTCCCAAAGGCACCGGGCGTTGGGCTCATCCCCACCCCGGGCCGCGGAGGAGGCGGAGGCGGCGCACGCAGGCCCAACAGGTGCCGGCGCGGGTCAGTGTGGGCGAGTCCCCCCTGGTACCTTCGAGGGGTATTGAGGAGCCGCTGCTGCTCGTCCCCTTCCTCCTCATCCTCGTCCGTCTCGGAGTCAGGGTGACAGTAGCAGAAGGCCCCGCTGCTCCGCTTGCGCTTGAGGCTACCCGGGCAGTAACAGAAACTGTGGCCGGTTGCGTCGCCGCCTGTCCTGGGCCCACGGACCGAGCCCCCCGTCCCGGCACCCGGCTCCGGTTGGGCTCGGGTTCGCCCTCGGTGGCGGAGCACTCGGCTGCTCAGAGAGCCCATGGGCGACAGCTCCCCGGGACTTCAGGGAGCGCACCTCAGGGAACCCAAAGGCGAGGGTCTCTCGTCATGGTCTGGCTCCCGCCAGCCTCCACTCAGCTAGGGTGCTTACACAGCCACCCTCTCACGCGCAGCCCCGACCGTTGCAGCGAACGATGATACCGCCTCCATCCTCTGCCCCGCCCGCCGCGTCTAGCCGCGCGGCGCGCCTGGACCGCAGGACCTCGCCCCCTAATTTTCGCAACAAAGCGTGGGCCGGAGAGCGCATGCGCGCGGCGAGCCCCCGGAAGGGGCAGGGAGAATCGAGTTTGCGTGGCGGCTGGAGCCTGCGCAAATGGGGACGAGGGCGGTAGGAGGTGCACTTGGGAGGGCGGGTTGCTTTAAGTCTTTGGTTTGTCTGTGCCTCGCACTACCCCGATCTTTGAGGGCAGAACTAGCGTGTAACCGTAGTTCACACATCTCTTAGTGTTGGCGAGATCGGAGATCCCAGGTCATTCATTCTTTCTGTAAAGGTTCCCTGAGTTCCAGATGCTTTCTGGACCTTGTGTCAGGCAAGGGGCAAACAGACGTTTGGGCTCATCTTTGTGATAGTTCACCACGTACAGGGGTCCCGCCCTGCGGGGCTGGAGCGTGGCATCATGGGGAAAGAGGAACTGGAGTGCGGATTTGTGCTGGGGATGAGGAGGGCGGTGCTGCGTTTCTTCTACTTCGGCTCTCTGATTGATGCTTTAAGGATGAAAGGAAACTGTTGGGTTACGGTCCCTGAACTTCCCTCCCCAGATAATGTGGGACGTCTGAAAAGGGCCTAGTACCGAGACTGTTAGGACTTAAAAGTGATTTCAGGAGGTCTGAATAAAATTTTTACAGGTGTCAGTCTGGAGTAGAATGCGTCCTTGTTGTGGTCTCTGGACCACCAACTTCCACTCCCTGACTCCCTTATACTTTTTAAATAAAATGTTTATAGTATTTCAAATTTATTGTTAGCTGCCCTGGAGTTGGCTAGGACTCATGATGACCTTATGTATAACGGAATGAAAACTTGCCTGGTCCTGCACCATCTCATGATTGTTAGTATGTCTGAGTCCATGGTTACGGCTGTTGTGTCAGTCCATCTCACTGAGGGTTTCCCTGTTTTCAGTGACTTTCTACTTTACCAACCATGGTATCTTTTTCTAGCAACTCGTTTTCCCTGTAAGTCCAAAGAAAGTGAGATGAAGTATTCCTGTTGTATTTCTTCTAAGACTGATTCACTCCTTCTGTTGCATTCAGTGTTCTTTAGAAACAGGAAAAACACCTATGCACTCACCACCTAACTTTAATTTTTAAGTTATCCTTGCTCTGGATCATTTTTTAAAAAACAGAATATAGATTCTCAGAAGCCTCCTCTTTGCCCCTATTTCAATCTGCCTCCCTCCTTCCTTCGCCAGTGGTAACCACTATTTAAGAATGATGTATATCATTATTCCCAAGCATGGTTTTTATACTTTCATTACCTATATGCTCATAAACAATACATTTTCTTTTGTACATTTATATAGGTAATTAAATGGAATATACCATAGCTATCATCCAGAACCTTTCTCCTCTCAAAAATTTTACTTTTGATATTTATCCAATTGATAAATTTCTAGTTCATTTTCACTGTTCATTGTGTCACCAGCCAGCAATTAGTTTATCCATTCCCCTACTAAGGGAGTTAAGTTGTTTCTACTTTAATGCTTTTACAGAACAGCAATGAATAAAAGACTCACCAAGTAGACCCTGAGAAGTGAATTCCCTGGGAAATTTTCAACTTCATTATTCATTAACAATTTGCTCTCTGAAATGATTGTACCAATTTATTCTCTCATCAGCAGTATAGTTTGGGGAAACTAGTCAACTGGTATCTGATTCACACCTGAGAAATGTGAACAGCTGAGGCGGGAGTAGGGGTGCAGTACAGAGCAGTGGCAGAATTTGTCGGGTTAGAGGATGTGCAAGTGTTTTCATGGAGCAGATGTGGGCCACCATAAGAGAGCCAGCATGACTATCTTAGATCCTGTTCCAGAGGCCTGGGTGGAAGGGCAAATAGACCTCAGCACAGTGAACCTAAAAATATCACTAAATTCCTAGAAGCCAAAAAAAGGAGTAAGTGACCCACTAGAAGCCAAAGGAACTGAAGGTGAGTGGTTACCCATGGATGGAGTTGACCAAGGAAACTATGAAAGTGCCAGCAGATTCAGCTGTAAAGTCTGCTCAGGTCACGCAGTGCTGATCCTCCACCACCACAGAAATGACAGGCAAGTAAGAGCTTTCCTGCTGTTCTTTACTTTCTCCTCCCTCCCCATGCAACACCCCTGAGAAGGAGGAGAGAAGGGGAAGGAGGTATGGAAGGAAGCCCAAGTGGCTAAAAAAGAGAAGCCCACTATGTCCCTTTCCCCAAAAGGTAACTTCCTGCTGGCAGTAGGCCAAAGCTGAATGAGGGAAGAAACTTCAGTAGTAAAATAAGTTTGGAATTTTGATTAGACAATTATTATTGAAATGGCACTGAACAGTAGGACTTTTAAAACCTACCAGTGACCATGATTTCTGCCTGAATTTTCACCTAGGGACAGGAGAACTAGGCCCACTGAATAAATGTAAATGGTAGAAGAGAAAAGGAAAGTTCCTTCATAATTATATCCCATAATCCATGCTTGCTGAAGATAAAGGGGGGCTTTATTCTCCTTTCTACAAAACTGTCAATCAAAAAATGCGATCTATTTAAAAATTTTTCCAAAGTTATATATAGTTTTAAAGGTAAAATTTCTACTAAAAAAATTGCATAATGCTTCCAAACTTAAATAAAACTGATTTGGAGATCCCATGCTCTTCTGGGTAGGTATCTACACAGTAGTACTATTTCCTATAATTAACTGAAATTACTAAGTATTTCCCATATACAGTATTTCCACCAGTCATCTGTTGTATTGTGGTGGCTTGCGTCTTGCTGTGAGGCTGGAGCTATGCCACCAGTATTTCAAATACCAGCAGAGTCACCCATGATGGGCAGGTTTCAGCAGAGCTTCCAGATTAAGACAGACTTGGACAATGGATGGGGCCATCTACTTCTCAAAGAATGGGCCAGTAAAAACCTTATGAATAGCAGTGAAACACTGCCTGATATATTACTGGAAAACTTTATGAATAGCCCTGAAACATTGTGAGATATAGTGCAGGAAGATGAGCCCCTTGGGTTGGAAAGCACTCAAAATATGTCTGGGGAAATGCCAATTCTTCAGAGTCCTCCTTAATGACATGGATTGAGTAAAGCTTTCAGGACCTCCATTTGCTGATGTGGCACAACTCAAAATTTTGAGAAGAAATAGCTGCAAACATCCATTAATAATTGGAACATGTAATGTGTGAGTATGAATCGAGGAAAATTGCAAATTGTCAAAAATAAAATGGAACACATATAGACTGATATCTTAGCCATTAGTGAGCTGAAATGGACTGGTTTTGAAATCAGATAACCATATGACCTATGCTGGGAATGAGAAATTGAAGAGGAATTGTGTGACATTCACCATCACAAAGAATGTTTCAAGATCAATCCTGAAGTACAGTGCTGTCAATGATAATATCCATACGCCTACAAAGCCTATAAGAACTGAAGAGGAAATTCAAGCCTCAAGTTGCAATATTGAAAGATTCAGTGGGCAATATATTGAATGATGCAGGAAACATCAAAAGAAGATGGAAGAAATACACAGAGTCACTGTACCAAAAAGAACTGGTTGATGTTGATCCATTTCAGGAGGTGGCACATGATCAAGAACCAATGGTTTTGAAGGAAGAAGTCAAAGCTGCACTGAGGGAAGTGGTGAAAAACAAGGCTCCAGGAATTGATGGGATACCCATTGAGATGTTTCAACAAATGGATGCCGCACTAGAGGCGCTCACTTGGCTATGCCAGGAGATTTGGAAGATAACTACCTGCCCAACTGACTGGAAAAGATTAATATTTGTACCCATTCCAAAGAAAGGTGATCCCACAGAATGTGGAAATTAGCAAACAATATCATTAATATCACACAAAAGTAAAATCTTACTGAAGATAATTCAAAAACAGCAGCAGTATATTGACAATATATTGCTGCAGTATATTGACAGAGAACTTACAGAAATGCAAGTTGGATTCAGAAGAGGATGTTGAATAAGGGATATCATTGTTGATGTCAGATGGATCTTGGTTGAAAGCAAGTAATACCAGAAAGATGTTTACTTGTGTTTTATTGACTATGCAAAAACATTCGACTGTGTGGATCATAACAAATTATGGATAACATTGAGAAGAATGGGAATTCCAGAACATTTCATTGTACTCATGAGGAACCTGTACATAGACCAGGAGGCTGTTGTTCAAAGATAACAGGGGGATACTGCATGGTTTTAAATCAAGAAGGGAGTATGTCATGGTTGTATCCTTTCACCATACTTATTCAATCTGTATGCTGAGCAAATAATCTGAGAAAATGGACTACATGAAGAACGTGGCATCAGGATTGGAGGAAGAATCATTAACAACTTGTGGTATGGAGACGACACAACCTTGCTTGCTGAAAATGAGGATGACCTGAAGCACTTACTAATGAAGATTAAAGACTTCAGGCTGCAGTATCGATTACATCTCAACATAAAGAGAATGAAAATCCTCACAAATGGACCAATAAGCAGCATCACGATAAATGGAGAAAAGATTGAGGTTGTCAAAGATGTCATATTATTTGGTTCCACAATCAACACCCATGGAAGCAGCAGTCAACAAATCAAGAGAATGTGTTGCACTGGACAAATCTCTGCAAGCAAAGACCAGTTTAAAGTGCTGAAGAGCAAAAATTTGTCTCTTTGCTCTAGACTAAGGTGCACCTAATCCAAGCCATGGCATTTTCAATTGCCTCATATACATGTGAAAGCTGGACAGTGAACATGGAAGACATAAGAAGAGTTAATGCTTTTGAGTTGTGGTGCTGGTGAAGAATACTGAAAGTACCATGAACTGCCAGAACCAACAAATGCTGTCCTAAAAGAAAGGCAGCCAGAGTGCTCTTTGTAAGTGAGAATGGCCAGACTTTGTCTCACTTACTTTGCTCATGTTTTCAGAAGGAACCATTCCCTGGAGAAGGACATCACGCTTGGTAAAGTGGAGGGTCAACAAAATAGGGGAAGATCTTCAATGAGATGGACTGACACAGTGGCCGCAATGATAGGCTCAGGTATACCAAGTATTGTGAGGCTAGTGCAGGAGTGGGCAATGTTTCATTCTATTGTACACAGGGTCACTATGAGTCGGAGCTGACTTGACAGCACCTGAGAACAGCAACATACGTATTTCACCCTTCAGAATACAATAGGACCAGTTACCATTGTGTTGATTCTGACTCGTGGGAACCCCATGTGTGTCAGAGGACAACTGTGCTCCACAGAGTTTTCAATGGTTGATTTTCAGAAGTAGAGCATCAAGCCTTTCTTCTGAGGTACCTCTGGACTTACACCTCCAACGTTTTCATTAGCAGCGAAGTTTATTATCTGTTTGCACAACCAAGGGATGCCTCAAAATCACTGGGATTATATAATTAATTAAGAAGGCATATATTTAATATAAATGTTCTACTTTGTAAAACAGAAATGCACTCCTCCTTTCCAAGTAATAAATGGAATATTTTATATTACTTGAGTAGTATTTGGCATATGTAAACATTAGTTTATAGCACTGGATGCACATAAGACTAAGTATGTTATTTTTTCTCACATTATCATTCCTAATAGAAACTAAGTAATACAAGCCCTTCAAAAATATCTCCTTTCACAGTCCAGGATGAAAAAAATTCCAGAGTGGAAAAGTATACCTATAAAGTAGAAAAACAGGATACCTCATTTCAAAGACACCATGTTTTATTAAAACTACTTTTTCATGTTGTATACAAACTGAACTTTGAATTAAATCCAAGTACACCTTCAGAATAATTCTAGAGTTGAAAGGTACAGAGCCAACACAAATTATTACAAATCACTGAAATAGAAAAAGATGTTAAAAGTTATTTTTAGCACAAAAAGTTTCTTTTAAGTCAAACTAAATTCAAAGCATTACACAATTACCAGAATACCTAGTTTGACATTTGATTTTTTTTTCCATTGGTTTTCAAGCTGAATTAAGACATTAACCATAATGTTGTTAACAAACATGAATGGTCAATATTCATCTTTAGTAATAAGACACATACAATCACAGTTAGAATTTAATTTTTTCAGACAAATTGGAGATTTTGGTATACATCAACCTGGAGAGAATAAGGGATGTTAACATAAGATATGATGGAAAAAGTCTCCCATGCCAAACTTAGTAACAATCTAATGCTATAGACAAAACCTAAACAAAGGGTACTTGTGGATGATTTCAATCTATGTCTATGTAAAATAGCAAACTAGATGGATATTCTTACTAACTGCTCACAATTTCAAGTAAGAAGTTACTAGTACACTAAAAAGATTAGGGAAGAAGAGTGATTTTAGAGGTTTTTCAGTCTTCCACTTTGACAGTTTTGCACCAAAAAGAAAACCTGAAATAATTTAATATATATCAACTTCTCTGAAACACTACCAAGGAAGAAATTTGTTAAAACCATGGAGTACATTTTTATTTCTAATTTTAAATTCCCTTTCAGGTTTTATAAGCTTTGAAATGCAAGTGCAGCTTTAAAGCATCAAAATGACTAATTATAGACAAATAATAATATAGACTGTCTACATCCTAAAAGGTAACTATAGGCATTTTAATTGGAAATAAGCATTCTGAGATAGTGCTAATAGCATTGTAGGAAAATGAAATTAAAAAAAAATTCAACATGTTGGGGATCCTCCTTCATGGATTTTCTTTTAATCATCTCCCCCACAGAGAATGAGCAGAACCTTCCTATAGTCTCCCGATGTATCACCCTGGGGGCAAGGAAAGCAAAGTTGCAGTCAGATAAGAGGATCTTAAAATGGGATATGCAGCTCAAAGTCACCTAATTTTTTTAAGCTTCTCTGGATTCTTTTTAGATAGTTTTTTGAAAAAATAACATTTATTTTTTTATTACAAAAGCAGTAATTGTTCAATGTAGAACAAAAGGGAGGTCTGGTGGCTTAGTGCCTAAGGCATTTGACTGCTAACCAGAAGGCTGGCAGTTCAAACCCACCAGTCACTCCTCGGAAGGAAGGTTGGGCAATCTACTTCCGTAAAGATACCTCCTCAGAAACCCAAGCAAGGGTCTCTATGAGTTGGAACCAACTCAACAGCAGT